GCAGGGCTTCGTCATGTGCCCCGCCCCCCCTACCTCACCCGGGGGAACTGCGATCCCTCGCGATCCCCCCCGAAATGACCTCTGCTCACAAGACTCCACAGCTTAGAGGGGGAACTGCCCAGATCTGGACGGTCTGGCCCCTTCTGGGCATGGGAGGAAGAAGCAGAAGCTCAGAGCCGGAGGCAGGAGGAGAAAGGAGGCTGCCGGCCACAATGGAGACCCGTCGCTGTCCTCGCCTAAAAGCCTAGCGGAACCTCCCTGCCTCTCAGGCCCTGCGGAACGGCAGGGCCCTGGTGGTATGAGGCTGAGAGTCCCACCAGGTGGGGGCCAGGACCAAAAAGGCTCTGGCCCTGGCCCAGGACAGGCGGACATCTTTGGGGCCAGGGATCCAGTGGGCTGCGGCTTGTCTTTCCACCACCTCCAAACAGCCTAGCCTCCAAGCAGGTGCCGGTCAAGAGAAGAAGAGGAAGAAGAGGAGAGAAGAGATTGGATTGATACCCCATGGCCCTTCACTACCCAAAGGAGTCTCAGAGCGGCTCACAAACTCCTTTCCCTTCCCCTCCCCACAACAGCCACCCTGTGAGGTCGGTGGGGCTGAGAGAACTCTTGACCAATGCTCCCTCCAAGCTGTGGAGTCTTGTGAGCAAAAATTCTACTTTATGAGCTGCTGGCATTAAACTTGTGAGCAAGCTATTTGGCTACTGCATAAATTAGTTTGTTCTGGAGCCATCTTTTCTGAGCTAAGACAAAAATGTGTGAGCTGAAGGCTAAAAAACTGTGAGCTAGCTCACACTAACTCAGCTTAGAGGGAACACTGCCTGTGAGGTCGGTGGGGCTGAGAGAGCTCTTGACAGAAACGGCTCTTTTCCAAGGACAGCTCTTATCAGAGCTACGGCTTGCCCAAGGTCATCCAGCCAGGTGCGAGTGGAGGAGTGGGGAATCATACCCGGTTCTCCCAGATTAGAGTCCGCGCACTTAACCATGACACCAAACTGGCACTTAACCACTACACCAAACTGGCAACCAGCTCCCGCCTACAGGGATTGAGAGGAAGTAAAGGCACCCAAAGGTGTGGTCAGAAATGGGCCTCCAGTTGAGATCCCAAAGCCCCGCCTCCTCACCTTTGACCTCAGCTCTTCTTCCCCGGGACAGACTGGGACCATAAAGCTCAAACCCCCATGGCCAATGTTCCGTCTAAGCTGTGGAGTCTTGTGAGGAAAAATTCTACTTTGTGAGCTACTGGCATTCAAGTTGTGAGCAAGTGATTTGGCTCCTGCATAAATTAGTCTGCTCTGGAGCCATCCTCCCTGAGCTAAGATGAAAATGTGTGAGCTGGTGACTAAAAAACTGTGAGCTAGCTCACACTAACTCAGCTTAGAGGGAACACTGCCCATGGCCTGTGTTGGTTGGCAAAGGCCGTTTGGCTCAGGGGTGGCCTCCAGCAGTGACACCGGCCCAACTCAGACGTCACCCTCGGCACACACCGCTGACAATCCAGTTCAAACGGCTCGACCCCGGCCACCAGCACTGTGACAGGCAAGCCAACCGATGCCACGGTTAAGCCAAAGCAACTCCTGCAGCTTCACCAGCCCCGCAGGGGCGAACACCCCTTGTGCCAGTCTGCCGGCAGCTCTACCTGCCACTTCCCAAAAAGGTTCTTCCCCTGCGTCCACCCGCCCTCCCTCTCCCCAAAGGTCCTTACCAGCATGTGCTCGGCCAGCCAGCCCTCGTCTCTGGCGATGCAGGAGGCGATACGGAGAGCAAAGCATTTCTTGCCTAGGAGGGAGTTGCCCCCGTAGCCGCTGCCGAAGGAGACGATCTCACGCCGTTCCGGGCGGTGTCCTATGAGGGTCTTCTCCGGGTTACAAGGCCAGTTATTCACCAACTCTTCTGCAAGGCAGAAGAAAGAACAGGCAGAGGAGAAGGGCATTAGAGGTCAAACACGGCATCGGTCCCAGGGGCGGCCGAACTTGTTTACCATTAAGAGCCACACAGAACAAACGTCAGATGCTTGAGAGCTGCAAGGCATGAACAAATATGACCCGTATGTTTTAGCGAAAAACACGCAGGTTTGCTTTTTATTAACATTAACTGAGACTGCCAAAAAGAAAAACAAAAGGGGGTAAAAACAGATATTGATAATGATATTCAGGGGTCGTTTCCTGCAGGAGCGCACAGGAGCGGAGCTCCGGCAGTGAAGAGCCCAGGGGCTGGGCACATGCAACAAGCTCCACTCCCTGCTCCCAGCAGCCCTCAGTCAGAGCAAGAAGCAGCCAGGTAAGTTACAGAGCCCCCCTGGTCCAAAACAGTCCAGTGGCACCTTTAAGACCAAGTTTTATTCAGGTACAAGCTCGCCCTCCTCTGCGAGGACAGATCTGCTACGTT